CGGGAAGTGAGCGAACACATACCGGCGTTCGCTCATTTCTCGATCCTGTCACGGCAGAGAGCCGTGACAGGGGAGGGACTGGATTCCCCCCTCCCCGCTCCGATCCTCCAGCGCTGACTGGTGGAACGGAACGGGGGAGGGGGCGGGTACAGCTTGCTCTGCCTCTAGATAAGCAGAGCCAGCTGTCACTCACGCAGCTGGGCGGATCCAGACATAATTGAGCTGTGGCTCGCGGTATACTAAGCTTAGGGTGACGGGAGGACGCTAGTTTGTGTCCTCCCGTTACCCTTAGGAGAACTATGGGGAAAAGCCCTAACCCCATAGTTCTCCTTTAAAGAGGAACTTTACCCACCAATTTAATGTCTCCCAAAACAGTTACTTTTAAGTCATGCTAATTGTCAAGGTTGCCAGTGTGCTTGTTTCTGCTCTCCACTGAACTTTCAATGCCTTCAATGGCTGGTGTCATAGCTGATCACATGTGCAGCACCATGGCAATTGCAATCCTAATAGAGGTTAAGACGGCACTTTCTACAATTGCACCGCTTAAAGTAAGACTCTACATTCATGAATTTCAACAATCCCTTCACTATAAAGAAAATTAGCAACTCACCAGTCAAGTATTATATCAAAGGCTTTATAAAATCTAACCATTAATTCTACTGCATTCTCATCCTTCATCAACATTTAGATGTCGGTTTGCACTTTTCTATGGTATGACTACTCCAGGTTAATAATAGTTGGCGTTAACATGATGTACCTCTGGTACTGTTGTCCGTTGGAACTGTTATCACAATTCAGCAATGCAGATTTTTTTCCCCAGATGTCGCGCAACATTTGTATCATGTTTTATTCTGTCTCTATCATTTAAAATACACCTATGATAACATTTATAGACCTTTCATTTCTTTGTAAGTGGGAAAACTTACAAAATCTGCAGGGGATCAAATCATTATTTTCCACACTGTATGTGTGCAGTTTTAAGGTCGGGGAGGGTTAAGTGTTAGCAGGAGCTTTAGTGTAGGGGTAAAGCGCTGACAGCTTTTGATTCTCAGCATCAGGATCTTTACCGTAGCCAGGCTTCTGGTACGTTAAATAAATGTATCACTTTGTAATCTGATTTATTTTATCAGCGCTTTTGTTCTATTATTGTCTGTTTTTGGCACGTTGTGAACCAGTGCTATATTATTTGTTGATAATACCTGGCAGCCCTGGTTTGCGTTTCTCTGAGTTGCATTTTTATATTATGATGTCCTTGTAAAGTATAGCTGTATCCTAGTTGAAATCATGGTACAAAACCAGAACATATTATTTATAGCTCACATCTCACTTCATCTTCAGGGTGTTCTAATGAGCAGCCCCCCTATACTCTTTCGCTGCTTGTTACATTGCTCTTTGATTGCACAGCTCTGCAAAATATATTTCAGTGATGTAAATAATAAATATGGAGAACACAAGGAGTTTAACATTCTTTGGAAGACTTAAAAATAATGGACTAAATTATTTAATCAACTGCTTTTACTGTAAAAATCTTCAGGCTAATGTCAGTAGTAATGATGGTAGAGCCAGCTTAAAGAACATTTTATTGTTATTGTTGTCTGGGGAAAAGGGCTATTGATTGAGTTGGGACATTTTCAGCGTTAACACTTCGTTCCCCTGCAATTCCCAATAATATGAACAGGTTTAGTTGAAAGGTTAGTGATACTGAAGTCCAAAGGTTTTTAAGCTATTTCAAATGCTGATGAAATCACTTACAATAGATGCTGCTCCTTGATGTTTAAAAGTTTTAGTTATCTGCAGAATCAGTTGGTCCTCATCTCCTGTTATAGGTTGGCTCCTTACCCTTGCAGGGTCCTATGGAAACACCCTTGTGTGCGCTAGTAAGCTGTGTGTGTCTCCACAAACACACAGATACAGCGAAGCAATCTACTCTTCTGCTCCCCACTCCCTTCTCCAAGCTGTAGATGGACAACTGCTGGAGACTTCTCTGTCCCTTGGGATCGGCGTGTCCCTAGCCTTTTTGCTGTCTGAGGTGGGGGGGTTGGTGCTGGAAGGTGCACAGTTAGTTGGGGGGATGCTGGTGGAGAGTGGCACTGGTATGAGCTGGGCAGGGAGATGTGTAAGGGCTCTGCATCTCCCAGCCCAGCTCTTAGCAACCTGGGATGCTCTGGCCGGTGTCCCACCAAGCCTCTAGTAACCAATGGCACCACTGGTTGCCAGAAGCTCAACAGGACACTGGCAAGAGCATCCCAGGTTGCTAAGAGCTGTGCTTGGAAACGTGCATGGCCCTTACACATCCCCCCAACCTGGAATGCTTTTGCTTGAAAGGGTGGCGGCAGGCACACTGCAGACATTGTGCAGCAGAGCGACCATGCCACTCTGCCTGCTGCCCCCCCACATGACCCAAAGATAGGCAACAGTCCCAGACTGCCGTATTATAGGGATGGCCCTGCTTGTAACCTTGTACTGGACAGGAAGTTCAGGGAAGCCGAGCTAAGAGAGTTGGACCCAGCTGGTGGGAAACATAATGACTGTAAGTGCTTGTGTGAAGGTATAAAGAAATACTTTTTGCTGGTTAGTGTATGTTTGTTTAATACTTAGATTTGATCTTTAGAGTTACATGTTCTAAGATAACAGAAGTTTACACGGGTAATATTATTACATGTTTTGGGGTGCTGTGTTTGATGACATTTGGGTGCCTTTCAGTGGTGATATTTGCTTATCCTAGCACTGCATACGTACCCAAAACTACTGCAACAAAAATTTGAGTACAAATAGAACATACTTTGGTTGCTCTTACCTTGGTTTGAGCAGGGTGCCTTCTGCACTTTATTTCACTGTTTTAATATGTACAGGTAGGTGCATAGCTTCGTAAGTCATAATTTATATGAACCCACAAACAGATAACACAAATCTGTCCCTCTATTTAGCCAAGAGGTACTTTCTGGATCATGTATCTACAATATATCTAATAGGATATCCATGTGCAGGCATTAAAACAACAACTGAACCAGGTGCTGTCAGCTCATATCTATGGGCAGCTCTACCCTTGTCTTTACCGCTGAAATTGCACATCCAACTTGAATAATGATTAGTATATGGGAAATGTTAAAAAGCAAGTTAAAAAGCAAGTCACATGAGGCATTTCAAGACCCTGCCAGCTACAGACATGACTCCCAGAAGCAGAGGCTGCCCAGATTTCCTACCCATGTTATAAAGCATACTGTAAACATACCTGTATACATTTTCGATAGCATGTTAGACTCCACAGTTTCACACATAGGTGAAATAGCAGGCTTGCTCTTAGACCGGTCCCTGGAGCCTATCTTCCCCTCCACTGCAGCGGTCTAAGGTCCCATAAATAATAACATTCTATACACAGTGTATAGACATGAAGATGCTGAGGAACATTCCAATGCTGCAATATAGGAGGAGAAAGGCTACAGTGGCCAGTGAAGCAGGCAGACGGCTTGACAGTTCAGGTGAATATATATATATATATTTTTTTTTTCTTTAGCACCTAAACAAAATGAGCACTTAGACCTTGCAGTACAGGGATAGCCCCACTGCAAGGATTAATAACACTTTTGCCTGGAGTTCTTTTTTTAAATGTAAAAAGTATGCAAGTACCCGGATTTGATCTGATATCAGCCTCTTGCAGTCACTATACAGAAGTGCTTGGAGAGGGTACAGAATAAGCAGCACCAGGAGACAGTATTGTGTGTTGCAGTGATAGGATTATGCTAACAGAAAGGGAGAGCAAAGTGACAGAGAGTGAAGCTCACCTGTCTGCTGCTTCTTCTTGTTACTGCCCTGTTAGAGGGTAGGGAGTGGAGGAGACCTACACTGAGTGGCCAGATTATTATGACCACCTGACGTTTGTAGGCAAATTAGCTATAATTTCATGCTGAAGTTGCTAGAGGGCCAGACCATTATAAATAGGGAAGCAGGTTGTTTACCACCACAGTAGGTGGTTTTTTTTCTGAAGATATGGGTAAACAACGCGATTTAACAGCCTTTGAACGTGGGAGGATTGTTGGTGCTCGGAGCCATGGAGCGAGTATCAGCAAAACAGCAGAATTGATTAAATGTTCAAGAGCAGCTGTTGTTAAAGTGTTTAAAGACTGGACTGTCAGCTGAAAATCTGGGTCTGAACGTGCGAATTGCGGCCGTCAGCGACTAGTCAATGTTAGGGCAGAATGGAGAGTGGCAAGACTGGTACAAGACAACAGAAGGGCAACAGTGCAGTGTCAGATTCCTCGCATCACCTTTCAACATCTCATGGAGTCACGAGGCGGCCCAACAAAGTCATCTCGTGGAGTCATCTCGTGGCCCAACGAAGTACTGATGGGGTGGTCATAATAATCTGGCCACTCAGTGTATAAGTGACTGTCAAACTGAAGCAGAGAACTATCAGGTCCACTACCCCACCTGTCATGTCTGTGCCGTGTGGCTGGGCTGTTTAAATTTTAGGACAGGACAGAAATACATATCCTTACAGTGTGTAAAATATTTCTCTTTTATGTATATAATTAGGATATTAAGATGTTTGCCTTCCTCTGTACAGGTTTCCTGCAACTTAAGTCTGTCAAAAAGAAATATGTAAGCTCCCATTGTTGCCAGCCTGTTATACTGATCCTCTGGCTCCAGTCCTTTCTGGGTCTCCCACTTGGAATTAGTTTAATTATCAGGAAATACAGAGAAAAATAATGTCTATATCTACATATTTTTTTCTGGTCAATAGGTCAAGGTGTTGTAGAGCAAGAGGCTCATAATAGATGGGTAACTAGCATTGTCTAAAGATAGTTCTGCAATGGCAGCTGCCACATCTGTCCTATGACTGGTTTCCTTTAAACTCACATTTCTTGTTTGGCCTTTGGTTGTAGCAATTTTCAGTTATTGATCTGTGTATTCAACCTAGGAACGATTCCCACAAGATAACCACGAATCAGTTTACTTCCCAGCACAGTTCACTAACAGATTGATTCCTTCTTCTTTTGTAGATGCGGAGGAATACCAACCCCCCATCTGGAAATCCTACTGTAAGTATTGTCTGCATGGCGTTAAGTCCTTTTTGTCTAGACGTTGTATACATCAAAGTAACAGAGGTTAAATCTGGAGCAATATTTAAATCTAATCAATAAATACAATTTACAAATGAATATCCTGTTACAGGAAAGCTGTTCTTATATTGAATTCTCCCAGGAATATTTCCATACCACTCTTAGTAAATAGCATTTTAACAGAATAGGTAATCGGTCGGATGATCAGACAGGGAGTAACTGTAACTTGCACTTTATTTAGCTGTTTAAAAGTTCTAATCAACAATGTAAAACAGGTTCAGGATAACAAAGAGCATACATGCACTGCAGAGTCTGATTATGAAAGTTGCAGAAATGTCGACTTTTCACCGCAATATGTCTGTGACTCAGTCAGGGTAATGTGGCTGCCTAGTCTCCATAACACTCTATAATAACAGAGGCTCTAGCTGAGAATCACTACTTTAGTAAACAGTTTTGAACACACACAGCTACATTTTCTGCTTAATCAGCATCCTTCTCAGTGTAGTCCAGGGTAGATCTCTTAACAGCGGTAAACACTTGAGGGATCCAAGGCCCCAAGGACAAAGGGCTACCCCACTAGAAGTGATAGTGATAGTAGTCGGAGGGGAGCTCCCAACAGTGACTGGGTCTTCCAGTAAAGCTGAAACTTGTTAAAGATGTCACCAGCACACCATATTGAAGTGAAGAACACATCTGTTTATGTATGCTTCATGTTAAAACACATAACGTTTCGGGGCCACACAGGGTCCCCTTCATCAGGCTTGAAATTACATCATTACGACCCTGTGTGGCTCTGAAACGCTGTTATTTGTTTTGACATGAAGCATCAATAAACAGACATGTTCTTCACTTCAATATGGTGTGCTAGTGACATCTTTAACAAGTTTCAGTATTGGTGGCACCATCCGTGGCGCCCACGCTGACAGGGATACCCGGTAAGGAGTGCAGCAGGACTCTGGAATACATGTTCCAGTGAAGCTGAGCGCTATTAGACTCTAGCCTAGTTGCCCACAGGCCTGTTCTGACAGTGGAGGGCCACTAACCTGGCTGAAGATCACTTATCAAGCTACCTTTGCCTCTGCAAGTTTGGCCTCTCTGAGTTCTTGAGGGAGGTAAGCTGAGGAATTTATACTCCCTGCACATGTCCAGTGACCCAGAGAGTCACTTTGCATTGGCTCTTTATTGCAAAATATAATACAAACCCCAGTATATCATGATATGGGGTATTTATGTTTGGTTTACTGCTGAGTATAGGTTATGGTACTTTTATAGATAGTATCGTGTAAGCCTCTTCTGGCTGAAGGAAGTAAAATGCTTTATATGGTGACTGCTATGAAATTAACAACATGTATAAAAATGTCCTCAGTTTGAAATAGAATGTTCTCACAGCAAGGGTCAGCAGGTAGACACCATAGATTAAAGTGACGCTAAACTCTGGAGTTAAATCTTAAAAATGCATTCAAGTACCTTAACTAATAACAAAAATGTTTCCTATTTGTGTATCACTCAGCTGTTACATAGTTAGTCAGGTTGAAAAAAGACACATGTCCATCGAGTTCAACCAATAGAGATATGAAAAATCATAGCTGTAGATCCTCAAATCATCTCTGAACTGGTGCTGACACTGTCCTTCCTTCTGAAGGGTGACTACTTTTGTTCCCCATGGTCCCTGTGTGTGTTGTAAAGTAGTCACCACTCCAAGCTCGCTCCTGTGATGGACTACAATCTTAATACAAATTAGTCAACTAAACGTAGGATTGCAGTCCATCATGGGAGTAGCTTGGAGGGGAACAAAAGTAGCCACCCTCGAGAAAAAAGGAGTGTCAGTATCAATTCAGAGATGATTTGAGGATCTACAGCACAGTTCTGTTATGTAAGCCAGTTTGTAATTAAAGACAACTTATGCTGGCTCTTTAATATATTTTAAGTTAAAGCTCTGACATGCCCATTTGTGCCTCCTTATTGGTCAAGGAAGAAGCACATCACATGGAGGGACCAATGGTGAGGTGCTTGAAGCATTAATGTCAGAGCTGGATTTCAAGTTTCAGGGTTCCTAGCTTGCTTTGTGAGACATCTAAATCCTCCCAGGACTCCCAAAATGCAATGTGCTTAACTCACGGTTGCTGAAATTTCACTACTTTTACAGTCAGTTAAGTTAAGGGCTTATGTAGATGGGCCTTGTTTTCCTGTATTTGACACACCTTTTAAACACACATCAAACTCAGGTCAGAAAATTCCCATTGGCTTAGGCGGAATAGTGTAGAACAGCATTTCTTAACCTTTTTTTAGTTGAGGCACTCTTTAAAAGTAATTGTGAGGGACCACTGAGGAGGCCAGGAGGCATACTAGCATGCAACAGCACCCTGGTGGAGAAAGGCTGGTGTAGATTAAAGTTCAGAGGCTGCTTTTGACCTCCTTTGCGTTGTGTCTCTTTGGATGTCGCAGGTCCTATTCATTTAAACTGAAGGCAAATCAGGCCAAATTCAGCCTTTTTTGTCAAGCACATGAGTTTGGGCAGTGCTGCATTCAAATGGAATGCCCATCTACACGAGCCCTGAGGCTTACTAATCTTTTAATCTTACATACTTTGCAGCCTTACCTGATTTCAAGGGATGGTCCAAAGTTTATATAGCTTACAGTATATTGAACATTGATCAACTTAAAAAATGTTTTGTATAAATGACAAAATCGTACTTTTACATTTTTTAAAAATATTTGAAATAAAACTATGGGCAAACGCAAAAATGATGTCCCTCCAGTAATACATTTTCATTAGCTGTTGATCCTACCAGTAGATTCATTGATTTTACACTTCCTGTAACAGGGTAACAATGCTATTTATTCTGTGGTGAAATCACAATAAATGTTGTCACCCTGTGGACAGCGCAGTTTTAGATGGACGTGTAATTTTAAATGGACAACAAACAAATTAAAGACCAGTTACAAGTATCACATTTTAAGCAGTTACAATAGCAGTCTCTTTCTTTTGGTTGAAATCATATAAACAAAAGCTGATTGTTCAAAGCTCCACTGTCAGTATAAGAATTAATCATTACCCCTAAAAGGGCCACTTTGCTGGACAGCTTGGTCTACATATGAATGTGAAGAAAAATATAAATATATGCATATACACTTAAAAAAATACAATGATATATATATATTTTTTTTCCTATAGTGTATATGTAGTTTTTAAGTATAAACACCGTATCTGTAAATCTATTTTAGTAGATATGCTGTGATGAGATTGCATCTCCCTCAGCTCCCCTTTGTCAGTTTTGTGAGTCAGTAATATATAAACACTGTCCCTTGAAGGATTTTGGCAGCACCTTATCATCTTAGATTGTCGATATTTCCATTGTTCTAGTACAAGCCTTTCGTTGCTGTCAAGGACTGTTAAAATACTTCCCATCAGCGAGTCATCCCTCACTTTGCTTCCCTGGCCACAGACAGGTCTGTGAACAATTATTAAGAACTTCTTCTTTGCCATTCAAATGTGTAGCATTGCTCTAAAAATATATGACATGCAGGAAAATACAAGTAAGTAGGTGGCCCGAAGCTTCTGAAAATGTAAGTGAAAAAAATCAGGTCACAAGAATCAGACTTTCGGCTTAGAAATGGAAATAGTAGCTATGCGGGTAAGCTTTATGTAGATAATGCATCTGTTCCAAAAAAACCACGTGAGGAAAAGCTGTAGAAATTTTCCCGAAGAAGCTGGTCCATCGATATGGTGATTTGAGGTTGATAAAAGAACAGTCAAATAACGGAACCTGCAGGAGAATCTCTCTGTGAATGCCCATTTTGGCAATACTGGGAATATAATCATTTTATAACCTTATATTATATGCAGAATGACAACTAGTTACAGCACCATAGTTTATAACTATCCAGTCACCCTAAAAACATTTTCTTTCCTGTTTGTTACCATGGAAATAGAACAATGATGCTTATTGTGTTTGTTTTTTATTTTGTCCCCAATTCTTTATAATTTCATAGTGAAGCGCTCTTCTCTCAAGCTGTACATTGCTGTTAGGAAACACTTACAGTATGTCTCTGACTTGATTGGGAAGCAAACTGTCAAGAAGGACAACATTTAACCACACTGCTCACTGAATGGCCTTCATTAGATCACTTGTTAGCATTCATTTTGCTGATGTGTTTCATACAAAAATGTTATGAAATGTTGCAGTAGGGCTACAAAATTAATAAAGGTGATTGAAGGCCTGAGCTGTGAAGATCGCCTCAAGAAATTTAAATTGGTTCTCCTTAGAAAAAAGGCGCTTACAGGGGGACCTAATTGCAATTTTCAATATCATAAATGGGGATAACAATATTCGTAATAGGATGTTTACACCAAGAACTGTACTAATGACGTGAGGACACAGGAAGAGGATAGAAGAGAGGAGGTTTAATCTCAGACTTCGCTGTGTTTTTTTTACTGTGCGAGTAGAAAAAATGTGCAATTCTCTTCCACAGTCAGTAGTATCTGCTGATAGCATTGATAAAGCCCCGTAGTTTAGTGATTACATTAGCAGTAAAAGGACTTTTCCATTTTTTCTCTTGTTATCTCCTTGAGCTCTTAAGTGAACATATCCCCCCCGTGTTGCCCCTTTACCCAGCTGGTCTACAGCTG